TATTGGTTTTGGCAAATTGACATTTTAAAATTTAACATACCAGTATTGTAAACATTTATTGCTTTCAGTTTAATATATTGGCAGAGCACTATTCAAAGAGAATGATTTATTATTTCTTAGTGTTACTTTCTTATTCCCATTTTGATTTAAGAATTATATGATTGCTGAAATAAACACAAATTAATTAAAGCTATAAAAATTATTTTAACATATTTTAAAAATTAAAAAACTTTCATTGTCATTTTCTTTTGAGTTTGAAGAGGGAGATAGTGGGACTAGCTACACCCCACTATATACATCATTACAGGACATTTAAACACACACACACACACACACACACACACACACACAATTAAATTCTACATTTGGTTATGTTCATTAGGTTTCAGGGAGGTGAGGATGGGGGTAGGCTACCCCTAAAACATTATTAAAATGTAATGTCATTGTGTTGGACTTAGGTATATCCTCAAAGTTTTGACTTTCTATCTTAATTAGAAGTGAGTTAAATTTGAGTTGCAAGATTTGAGGAAAGCAAGTTATTGTATTTTCCTGAATTAGCACTGGGAGTCAATTAGCCTCCTCCTTTGAATAACCACAGGGATCTTGATCCATGGAAATGAATAAGTTCTCTGGCACTTAGTTGAATCGTGTTAAAATAAAATTTGCAAAATTTTGCAATTTTTACATTGTCAGTATACTGTAGAACATATTTCATTTCAGACCATGGTAAATAAAGTACAACATTGATAAGAACAGATTTTCTAGAACAAGTTTCCATTTTAGAAAAATTTGTGTGAAAATGTAATGATGTACATTTCTCACACATGGTATTATTCTTGACGAGGACAACATGTCATATAAAAACAACTGTCTTCTACCTGTATTTGCAAATAGTATTTGCTATCAAGATTAGTTGAACTATTGAGAAAAATTAAATAAGTTGAAGAAAATAATCATATATAAGTATATTAAACCCTAAGCCATATAGATATATAGATCATTATAGATAGAGTAGTTTAAGGCGATCATTTGGCTATGTATGAAAACAATCCTTTTTGTCGTTTACAAACTAGTTTTGTTTAATTGTAGTAGTTACTTGCAGTAGTTCTTTAGTAATAAAAAATAATAAAAATACAGATAGTTGCTTTTAAAATTTAGCAATAGAGAACCTAAAGCATTTTTGTTTTTTTTCCAGTTTTGACTAAAAGATGTATTACTTTGACCAACTGTATCTCTGTACTGAAACAAAACAAATTATGATAGTCAAAATAATCAACTGTAAAATTAAGCACCGTGTATCAAATAGTTGCCAGCCTTCAATAAGTGCTAGGGATTTTGACCTGTGAAAATGAATAAGTGCCCAGGTGCTTATTCAGATGCAGGAAATATGGTAGATAAAAGCATTTAATAATAAAGCAACTGTCACACAAAATTTCAGCCTTTAAAAAGAAATTACTATTATGGAGAAAAGTTGGATGAGATGTATTTAGAAGACAATGACTTGGAGTTGAATGAAGAAATGAATTCTGTGTCTGTAGAATATTTAACATGGCTATTTACTTTGACATATACTTTTTAGAAGAGATTGACCAATACAACTGGATCAAAGATCACTTCAATACAGAACTTTCATCAACACTCACCATTGGAGAACAAGAAAAATTTATGGATAAGTCATCAGACTCCATGCTGAAACTGAAATTCATTTCTTCATCATTACTTGTGTTTTACAGCTTGGTGAAACAGGAGTATCCAGAAGTAAGTAACAGGGCCCCATAAGTTTTAATTATTTTTGTTACGTTCTAATTATATGAGGCAGATTTTCAGCATTGGCAACCATTAAAACTAAATACAGATCATGAATGAAATGTTGAAAAATAAAAAAATGAAAATCACAGTTTCCAAACTTATGCACAGAATTAAAGAACTGATGATGAACAACCAAGCACATCCTTCCCACTGACTTTGTTATAAGAATAAAATGTCATAAAATTGTAAATTGAAATGTGTTAATGTTTCATTTACAAAATAAGCATAATCTTATTAATTTGTGTCTGAAACTTGTTTATTACCTATACACTTTATGTCAGATATCATGGACCAAGAAATGTAAAATATGTCTGTTTAAAAGCTAAAAATATATATATATATATTTTTTTTTGTGGTATTTTTTTATACAAAGGAGTAAAGAGATTTATATTCAGATTATGGTAGCCATGCATCAAAAAAGTTTGAAAAAGGTAGTTATACCATATTATTCTACTTTACTTACTATACAATATTTTAATAATACATCACCTATTATTATTTGAGTAACTACAATTATATAATGTCAATGCAAACTTTTTATTACTATTTTTATTCCATATGCCATTATTATAGCATTATAATAGGAAAATTTGAAACTATATGTTTAACAATAAAACAATATATTTATGTGAAATTAACAAAATTATTTAATAATTGCATTTTTGAATCAGTCAACCTTAATTTAAAATGATATTTCAAATTTTTATTTCACACTCAAATATAAATTGCTTTTCAATCTTTATCTACTTAACACTGATATGTACAAAATAACGCCTTTCTTACTTATTCAAGCAATGTTTATTCTGAATCACAAACATTTTCGGCCACATTTAGAGGCCTTCCTCAAGCAAAAAGCCATTCCATTCAAGGTGTTATTTTGTGCATATCAATGTTAACTGAAAAGTTCCAATTTATTAATTAACTTTATTTACTTATTTTGGTAATTTTTAAATTTATATACGGTAAATAACTCAAAAAGTATCTTTCATTCAAAAATTAATTTATATAATCGTTGAACACAAATTTTTATAAAAGGTAAATTACTTTTATGTAAAAATTATTTTTTCAAAAAAATTACTGAAAAAAATTCATTATTTATATGGATATTTATGAGAAAACAAATATTTGACTATTTATATCTATAAACAGAGTTAAAATTTATTAAGTATAATTCATTTATAAATTTCTTGAAACATTTTATGATCCTGGTAAATTAAAAGATTTATGAACATGTGAGATTCGGGAAATTGGTTTTTTATATTTTTAGCAAAAAGACAAGCTATAAGAAACTTCTCTTTATTTCTTTCATTTTTCACAGAATTAGTTTAACTGTCAACATCCATCTGCTAGTAGGGGTTTCAACAAGTCCCCCCTACTGGAAAGTTTTGGGGATGGAATTTTTGCAACTGATTGTTGATAGATGGGAATGTCAACTTTGAAACAATTACATGAGGAAAGTATAACAACAATCGAAAGAAATAGTAAACCTCCTAACTGATTTATTTAATTCCCACCATCCTAACTGACCCAGTGATGACACATTCAGAGGTGTCATCGCTGCAAAACATAAAGTCACCTGACCAAATTCCCACCCCTGATGGGGATATAACAGCTGTGAATTCAATCTTTGGAGCATTCGTTCTTCAAGAAATCTTTTTACCTTATGGAATACTGGACTGATCAACTCTTCATCTCCCCAAACTTTCGCCACTCCACTACCGACCATTAGTAATGAGGTAGGATAATTAACCGATTTTATCTAAACTCTCTCTCGGTCTGTTAATGTGTAAGAGAATCAGACCGCAGAAATTGTATCCCTAGAATCTATTCAAATTATGCTTTAGTATTTGTATTCATTTGTAATCGTTTTACTTTATACTAAATCCCTGTTGAATTTTAACTATGGTTGCTCTTACTCATGTATTGCTGACACCTTATTGACGACCTCACTAACCCCCCCCACTCGCATTACCTAGAAGAACACCATCCATTGACCCTGTGAGCAGGACTTACTGCCCTGACACCTATCAAAGGAGTTAAGCCTTGTGTCTCAACCCTAACTTCTCACAGATGAAATCAAAACTATATTTGTAAAAAGAAATTTAATATGACTCACCAACCTAAATTTAAAAATATTTATCATATCGAAATATTCTGAGAATATGAAACATTAAATCATGTGATGGTAATAAGCATGCCACATTACATGTAAATCTTTAACAACAGAAAAATGAGACTTATTTGTCAGGTAAGTCGCTTGCTTGTTGCACTATTGATTCTATCGAAAAAATCTGCACCTGCTAAATCTTGCATTTATTGACTGAAAATCACAAAGTTCAGTACAAAAAACATCACATTACAACAAAGGATAAGACTATCAAAATAAAGGAGAAGACTTTTTGCTCATTTTAACAGGCAATGAAAGCTTGTTTATCATCTTAAACTTGAAAATCAACTCCATACTTTGGCAAAATGTCAAAGTATAGAGTGGCATCATCTGAATTTGCCAATGCAAAAAATCCAAGAAAGATATTGCCCATAACATTTGCTGCTGATGCCATCAGATCAAAGTTTATGAGCATCATCTTTTGAGATATAGAAGGATGCATTCCAATTGATTTTCTGAAGGATGGGAAAATCATAAATACTATTTGTCATGGGCAAACATTAAAGAAATTTTGTCATGCATGATATCATAAATGTCCTGGAAAAGATTATCTGCAGTATTATAACACTCATCCCACTCTGTTAATCTCACTTTAAAAGAAATGGAGATTATGTAGAAAAATACATGAAGTATATAGTATTTGTTTTTAAACAATAAAAGCTCTTAATTCATAAAACTAGTGCTCATTACTGGCATGACCTAAATAAAAGGATTATTATCTGCATAATTGAATGCAAGAAGAATATGACTTACAAGTCTCCAAAAGCTGAAAATTATTTTAATTTAATAATGAGAAGAAAATTGTTGAATGTTTGTATTTTTGCATATTATAAGTAATATTTATTCATTTTAAATAACTAATTATTATGTAAAATATATAGTTATATTATTTGTAAATTCACTTTAAATTTATTTGAAAATATTTTAGACTATTAAAGCATATTAATTTTATATTGAAAATTTGTATTTAATAATTTTTATTGTTGTATTATTATTATAATTATTATTCTTTTAAAATATTTACCTCATCTAAAAGGGCTAAATGTAAAGGTGTATGTTCTGTAGATAACTTAAAATAACTTTTTTCTGAAACAGTATAATCAACCCATTGAACCACTCCTATTGCAACTACAGGAAATCTGAAATAAAAATATTTGTATTTAAATTAAAATTAAATGAAAGTTTATATTAATACTCTATTTCAATATAATTAAATGCTTACCTTATACATTGATAAAGTGTATTCAACTCAGCTATTAATTCTGAAGATCCTTTCTTTTCATTGCAAATAATATGTACTTTCTCTATGGCTTGAGTTGTGGCTTTCAGTTCATCTTTATTTAAACTTTTCCTAACATTCTAATAAAATAAAATAAGAAAACATGTTGATAGATTTACAACATAATAAAAACACAAACACAATAAATTAAATATCAAACTCAGTATCTTTTAAAACAGTAAAACATTCAACACCTTATAACTCTGAGAAATATTTATTAACCCACAAACGTTTTCAGCCTAATGAAATAGTTTGTTGAAATGATAAAACGTTTGTGGGTTAATAAATATTTCTCAGCATTATAAGGTGTTGAATGTTTTACACAAACGCAATGCTAAATTTATTATACAATTGAAAATAAAGTTCAATAATCATTAATATTATTGTAAAAATTATTATTATTAATAGTATGTTTATCTGTTTTTATATTATTTATTAAATATAAAATTTCACATTGCATCTGATCAGTTCTATTTGATTTATCAATTTTTGCACAATTTGTTATTTTTTCAAAATAAATTTTTACATAATCTTTTAATATGATTTTTCATTCTAATGGTAGTATTTAAACTATCAAAAAATTTTCATGTCTAACTAATATTGAAATGAAAATTAATTTTTTTTAATTGTAACTTATTCTACTTGTAATTTGATTTTAACTTTCAACAATTGTCTTGAGTAACACCATGTGCCTTTGTGATTACAAGTTATTTCCAAATAATCTCCATTGAGAGCTGGAAAGTATCAACAATTAATGCAAGATTTCAATTGTAAGCCCAATGAATAAGATGATATCAAACTATGCTATCAGATCATCAAATTTTTTAAAAGTTATTAGATTTTTAATAAAAATTATTATCTTTAAAATTAATTATATAAATGATATCAAATTAAGATTTCAATTTGAAATTAATTATACTTGACTGTAATATTTGAATCATCATAGCAGATAGTTCAAAATAATTGCTAATTTTATAATTATTTAAAATTTTTCCATTCAGCACTATGGATTTCTTTAATAAATAACTGAAAAATTATATATAAAGTTGCAAGCAAAAAACTTTAAGTTCATATTTTCTACATTTAGCTTACATATTAAAAAATTATAGTAAATTATAATGAGATTATTATTTAGTGCTAGTTCAAAAACTGCATGAAAGTGGAAGCTATCCAAACAGCAGACAAGAAAAGAATACTAAAACTGCTGATTTCAATTCAGAAATATAAAGAGAACAAAAGATAAATGAATAGATAAAGATTTAGCATGTTAATTAAAAGAACAAGCCATTAAATAATACAATAGTTATTTATATTTTGAAAATTTCAATAAATTTATTGAACTAAGCATTTACATATAAAAGATTAATAATAATAGAGAATATTCATTCAGAAAATATTTCTGTTAGAGAAAAACTATAAAAATTACTTTTAAAAATATAGCATAATTATTTATTAATAAAAATATTTTCAATATTTTATACTATAGATAAAATTTTTATAATACATAGTGTATGTAATAAAATTACTTAAAACAAATATTTTCAATTGACTAGTGTTTTACTACTAAATAAGAAGAACTAATGTTTTTTTATATTCAATTTTTGTTCTCTGTTAAATTAAATTTAAATGAAATTTTAATATTAAATTTTACATAATTATTACTTAAAATAAAGATAGATCTGATAAATGGCCAAAATGTATTAGTTTGAAAGTCATTGCTAAGAAAATATCGGATTGGATCCACATAAGAATAATTTTAGCAACTACGAATAATAATTATTTATGTCTTTAATGAAAATTTAAAAATCTGCATTTAAATATTTATATAATTTATCATTTACGTATCTACAAATTTATTCCATTTAACATAATTTATAAATTTCTGTATTTGATTAATTTCTCCATTAAACCTTTTTTGTTTTTATAAATTTGTTTTAAAAACTATATCCAAATTACAATTTTGTTTGAATCAACTGCAAAGACCATTTTACTGAATTCAAAGAAAAAATATTTATTTAGAAATTTCTATTTGACAACTAAACATTAACAAAAATAATATTTAAAGTTCACATTAAATTGACAATCATATTGATTTACATTTAAATTAAATTAACAACTGATTTCTAACCTTTTTATAAATTTCATGAACACTAGCAGCATAGGCAAATAAATATATATATTTTGGTTTGTGTTCTGGATTTAATTTAGTTCCAGGTTTAAAAAGAGCATCCATAAGCAAATCTAAAAAAAAAAATATATATATATATAAAGTTCTCAAATAAGAAATATAGCAAATTTTAAAATAAATTTTCAGTTACAAGGTTAAAATAATAACTAAAATTTATAAATGTATTAGCATTACATGAACTGTGAAGAAATAGAATATAATATACATTGATAAAGTGTAATATACAGAATGTACATAGATTTAGAACTAGAAGTAGATTTGTTTGAATGTTTTTCATGTTTACATCTATCAAAAAATTTCAAAAATAATGCATAAATATAATGGAATTGAAACAAAACATATTTAAAATTAATATAGAAAATCTGATTTTATAAATAAACTTTAATAAACATTTGATTTTATTATTCGCTTATTAAATACATATCAAAAAGCGCAAAATCAATAAGTAATTTCGATTAATTTTAATATGTAACATTGCCAAAAAGAGAATAAAAAAAAAATTCTAGGTCTTGGGTTAAATCCAAGAAAGTTAAATTATTGAGATCAATAACATTCTAGGAAGTTAAATGTTAAAATATTTGCAAAAATTAAATATTTTGATAAATTATATGTAGTTCTTCTCATTCATTTTATATAAAGAGTAAACATTTGTATTCTGTTATTTATTTATGTAGTGTATACTATACATAAAATATTTTAAAATAATTTATTTCTCCAAGAGAATTACGGCATTTCTAAAAGTTATTCGATTGTGTGTAACATTGTCTAATAAATGAATTGATATGTGACAAAAATCGCATTGTTACGACCTTGTATATATAATAATAAGGAAGTTACATATCATCTGCTATCCAGTAGTTACCTTCCAGCATTCAGGATGCTGAGTCATAGATTTGTGTTTTCGTTAGTTATCCTTGTACTTTTATGCAATAGATATTTAACAATAAATGGGCAAACTCGATATTTTTCGTATTAATTCTGATCAAAAACAGTATTTTTGAGCTAAAATCAATATAACACGTTATAATTCTAGAAGAAAATTATAATCAAAACATCATTAGATTAAAAAAAAAAAAAAACAGAAATAGATATAAAAANTATTTTGTTATTTAAATTTACATCATTCCACTGCCAAATATTTGAAACAATATTTTGTTTAATATTATTATTTTATATTAATCTTAAAAGCCTACAATGAAGGTAATATGCTAAAATATTCAAACAAAAAAAAAAATGTCACGATCTTTAATTGTATGCTATGTTCTATTCACTAACATAAAATGAGCACAGATGATAACATGAAAAATTGTATTATTACTAGGAAATATAATCATAGAAATAAAATATAATAACTATGTTTTCTTAAAATGCAGACTACATCTGAAAACTATAATAAAAGTTATAAAACTTTCACACTAAACTTTTCCTAAGTTAAAGTGTTTAAAAAATGATTAACAGTTTTGTAACAGTCCCATTATTACTACAGACTTCTGAATGTAGTTTCAAGATGTATTATAAAATATTTATAATTTCTGTAAGGAAACTTTTTATTATTGATTTTAATAAATCTGTAGTTTAGTTTTTGTTATTTTTTTATTTCTATTTCTGCTCACTCAAATTTTAATCTACTATTTAACAGAAATGAGAAATATTTTAAACATTCAGTACATCAACTGATTAAATTCATTGATTCAATTTAATAAATTATAGTATGAGTACTTAACTGAATTATGCAATATTCTGTATCTAATTAGCTACAATATAAATCTTTGCTTAACTAGATATACTAAAGTTTCATCTAAGTAATGAACATATAGAATAACTTATAAATTGAAAACAAATAATTATAAAAATATCAGAAAATCAGCACAATCTAGATTAAAATAAAAGCACTATCAACTTAAAGAGTAGTTATAAAAATCATAGAGATTAGCTAATCATTCTTTTATCATATGAAATAAATTATGATTCATGAAATTTCTTGGGTAAAATATAGTTGAAAAATTCCTTTTATATAAACTGAAGTGCCAAAGAATAAGACAGCAAGAGTAATGCATAGCTTCTCCTTTTAACCTAATAACAATACCTACTTGATATGGCATGGAGTTGACAAGATGCTGAAACAAATGTGTGGATATAGTCATCCAGCTATATTGGATGGCAATCCATAATTCCATAATGTTGGCTAGAGATGATACCAAGTGTGAATGGGCACCATACAGATCACTCTATCTCCCAAAGGCATTCAATTGGACTCAATTCTAGAGAGTATGGGGGCCAATTCAGAAAGTCATTAGAACCATGAACTGGTCTATATCATCCATGCATAATGTAGACTGGCATCATCTTGCTGAAACAACCTATTTGCACTAAGGAATGAGTGAGTATAAAGAGTTGGAGATGATCAGCAACAATGTTTGTGTAATAGAAACTTGTACTCTCACCTGTTATTGGTTGTAGAGAGTCTTATTTTATTATTATCCCAGTGTGGTATGCAAACGTGTAATGGAAACTTGTAAAGACAGACTTCACTAATATAAGGATCTAAGTGAGTTTTGACAGAAAACACTTCATACCATTAAACACTTACCATTACCTTGTATGACTCCTTGCTAGCATGAGGGTCCATAGCTTTGTGCAGTCCCCTTCAAACACATATCCTGCCATCTGCTCAAAAAACCTAAAAATGGCACTCATCTGACCCACAACATAACACTAGTCCACAACATAACAAATAATCCACAGTTTAGTGTCAATGTCATTTAGCCTAGGCAAAGTGCAGGTGCATTGTATATTGTCCAGGTGTAAGCAATAATACACATTTAGGTCAATGACTATTGAACCTCATGAAATTGAGTGTTTGCTGTACATTCCACTGGTTGATAAATCAACAGACACCAGCATTGAAATAAAACAAATATGTCTTAATGTTGTCTGTTGTTCAGTGATTACAAGCATGTAAAGCAGTCTGTTTATAATTCTTGAAAATCTGCTACATAAAAATCCAAAAGTGGTGGCCATCTTGGAAACGGAATGTCAATATTTCTTGCATGTACTATCTGTTCTCAATCAAAGGCGAAAGAGTGACAAATCATGTCGCATTACTATATCTGCTGGTTTACTACACAATCAACAGTCAAGCCTGTGGCTTATTAAAACATATAAGCCGTAGATATTTTTTTTCTGTAAAAAGGAGGTAAGAAACTTACAATATTCTGCTACTACTAATTTTTTTGGCACTTCAGGTCTTTATTAATTTAAAAAATAGAGTCATTTTTAAAGAATATCAATGTTAGATAAATTATTACAACAAAAACCAGTATTTAAAGTTATAATTTATATATATTTAAAGAATAATTGGGCTGCAATTTGAAAAATTGTAACCTACAAATTCCCACTGTCGTCTATCTGTCTGTTTTTCCTCAATCTTAAGAACAGAGTTAAACAAAATCCAAGAAAAGGTACAGAAAGCTTAGGATAGCAGGATCCGATTAACTATAATACTAGTACTATATAACTATATAAGAACTTCCAATAAAAAACCTGAAGTCATATTATTTCAATTCAAAAATTTTTTCCTGAAAGGAGTTAGATAGATAACCATCATGACTACATTGTTAAAGGAAAAGTATGATGTACAGGGGTAAGACACTACTACTTTGAGGTGGATAGCATATATTTTAAATTAAATAAATTAAAAATATGATTAAAAATTGCAGCCCAGCATTGTGACGATATCACAATAAATAATTGATTATTATTACATGGATTTCTATTAATAGTTATTTTATGAAGAATAAAAGTAGCCAATTTGTTCAAACTTCTAAGATTGCAGTTAGTAAAATTTTCTTCATTTATCTAGTATGGCTTTTTAATTTCTTGAAGCAAATAAATGATTAAAGAAAATCAACATTGTTTAATTCTTGTAAAAAACTGTCCTAAAAAGCTGGACTAAAATAATGATTATTCATCAAAATAAGAAATGGTTCTTGAGCATTAATGCAAATAAAGTGAATTTATAGGTTCATGATCACTAATTTTTCTAAGTATGTTATTGTAACATACTTAGAATAATGTTTTTAATAATATACTTAACATACTTAGAAAAATGTTTTTAATAATAATGATCTGATGGCATGATGGTTAGGATCATTAATGCATCATCAACCTATTGCTCTAAGAAACAAGAGTTGAATGTAGGCAAGCAACTCCTCAGAAATTTTTGTAGCTTATAATTTAAATTCATATTTATATATATGCACTTTTGCCCCTGTAACCTGTCTAGAAACAACTGAATACAATGTATGATTGTACTAAATATGAATATGACAATTTACTTTAGAACTAATCATTAGTTGCTTGAACTTTAGCTGGTCTTCTCTCCAATTCATAAATTTCATCATAAATATTTTTGTTGTTATCTTAAAAATATTTGAAGAAAAAAACGTTACTTAATTTCCAGTTTTATCACCTTGTACACATAATATGTAAGCAAATTTTATATATTAATTTCTTTCCTTTTTGTAAATTCACACTTGTATGCTATTTGTTTTTTGTTTTCAGTATCGTGCTTTTAATTGAGTGGAGCACTTAATAAATCATGTTATGTAAAAAATTGTAATTATCTGCTATTTCTTTTTGTGCTACAATTAGATTTTTAAAAAATTATTGTTGTAGTTTAGTAACAACAATTTCATTTTAAATACATTTATTAGAAATGAAAATAAAATTTAATATTTAATCTGTTAATTTAAAATATAAAATTAAAAATAAAGTATTATTTTGTAATTTTATTTTCATTTTTAATTTTATATTTTAAATTAACAGATTAAATATTAAATTTTAATTTTCTAAATTTATCATCCAGTTTTAGATTTAAAAATTAGTTTATTATTAGTTAATACTGTATTAAAAAATATTGTAATATCTCTAAAAAATTTAAATTATCTTTAAATTGAAAAATCTGTTTAACTGAATTTTTTATAATGTTTTCCTGGAAACAATTTATTATTTTATTTTTTCGTGCATTTTAAAATTTAATTAAATATTATAAATTAATAAAAGTTTTTAGTATTAACTATTTTATTCTCTTTTTAATTTTCATTAAAAATATAAGAAAATTTTTATTAGTTTAGAAATGTAATCCATTGTAATTTAATAATATATCAACTTTAAATTTAAAAACAGAATTTAATAAACTGTTATTGTCATATGGCTTTCTCATTTCCCAACAATTCAATATTAAATTATTCTATTAAAAATATCTTTTATGAATTTTATATAAAATAATATTTGTAATTGTAAAGCATCATTTCAAATAAAATTTTAATCATTTAAAAATATGCCAAGTTTTTTTCGTTAGTGTAATCAGATTTGTTCATATTACTTCAAAACAATATTCTCAATATATATATAAGTATACAATGATGAAGTTTTGGTAAAGAAAAGTGCAAGTTATTTTAAAATATTTTCAATATTTTTATGTTTATGCTATTAATATTAAAAATATTTGCAACTGTATTTAAAAAGTATAAATATGAATATATTTTAACACAATTAAATGAACTATTTAAATTATAAACCTACCTAGAAATTGTGGCACTCGTAATAATTCAACAGGTGGAGGTTCTGGAGATTGATACATCTTGGATAACTAATAACAAAAATGTTAATTTAATGTTCTAAAAATAATTTATAGTTAATTTTAAATAAGGTAGTGTCTTTTAATACTAACCACAGTTATATCGGCTGGATTTAATGCATTTTTTGCTAACATTGCTGAAAGTGCTTGACAAGCTCTGGGAAAAGCAGCTGCTCCATTGAGAGCCATTGTAATTGGAGTTGCATCATGCCCTCTGTATTAAAAAAAGGAGGTAAGAAACTTACAATATTCTGCTACTACTAATTTTTTTGGCACTTCAGGTCTTTATTAATTTAAAAAATAGAGTCATTTTTAAAGAATATCAATGTTAGATAAATTATTACAACAAAAACCAGTATTTAAAGTTATAATTTATATATATTTAAAGAATAATTGGGCTGCAATTTGAAAAATTGTANTATCTGAATATATATATTTATTTATTTATTATACTGTTACTTTTGATATCAAAACAAATAACTGTGCAAACATTTTTGTGTTTTGAAAAAACTTACAGTTCATTCCATAATAATTTCTACACATTTGCTATTTTAGCATTTAAACATAAACACACTTAAGATTTTGTAAAAATTGTAAAATTATAATATTTCTTTAAAGTTAATTTGTAAGAATGCTTATAATTACTGTTTTGATATTCTGAGATTTTTTATTAAAATTACAGTGAAAATCCTATAAAGATCTTTACTGAAATCACTAAATAACTTACACTTGTTGAGCATATTTACTGATTTCCTGTGAAAGACGTTTGATATTAAAACCCCCACGAGGTTCTTGTGCTAAAAGATGCAATAAAGTTTGACTGTACAGATATGTATGTTCACCATGACAGACCATTTTCTGAAATAAAATATGTGATACAAAAACTATTTATAGACTTTTTATAGCATTTACAGACTTTTATATTTTAGTTTATAATCCTATATTTAATTTTCAATTAGTTACAGAAAAAATTCAGTTATTAATATTATTTTTTTAATTTCAAAACTAAAAAAATGTAATTTTAGATTTTCTAGTTTAAAATTCATTGGTATAATATAAAATATTAAAAATTATTAATTCACAACAAGATTTATCTATAACACAAAAACACTTAATTTTCAATAATATTAAACATAACTGAATATTATAAATACCTATTTTATATGGAATTCTAGGAAATCTTATATATACTTAATACAGGTATATATAAAACAAGTTAATGTATTATTTTAATTTAACTAAACATTTAAATAATTTTTATCACTACTTTTTTATTTAATTTTCCAAACTATTTAATAATAATATATTGTCAAAAGTTTGTTAAACAGTAAATTAGTTTGCAAAAGCAGTTTAAAACATTTGAAAAATATAATAAATAAAATGAATAATTTTCAAAGTATTCTTAATCATGTCATCATGTTAAAATGTAATGTCTCATGTTCTTCTTTAAACATTTCTTTTCTAAAAACTTTTTGTTGTACTTCTATCTTAATTAATGTTCTGCATTTCTATCTTTAAAACGCTCTGTACATCCAAAGCAATCAGTGTTTTTCATATCTATAATACTGCACAAACAGTATAAATACAATAAAACTAAAAAAAAAAATAAAATCATCATGATGATGCATCCATTTAATAATGTGCAGAGTTATATTTTGAATGTTATAAATTAAACAATATTTGATGATAATTTTTTAACATTAAAAAACAATAAAAATATGTATGATTAAATGCAACAACATTGTCAAAAAATATTTAAATGATTAATTTTATATAAATTAACCATTCCAAATTGTATTGATCTTATGCTAAACTTGTTTCAGTTTGACTGATTTTTTTCAGCTTTTTTTCTTCTAGTTTTTCTATAAAGAAATACTGAAAAAGATTGCTAGTATAATAAAACTAGAAAAACAAGAAACTAATAAATATAAATCCTCAATATTCTCAAACAAATAATGATTACTTCCAATCGAAAATTATCAATTTTTATATAGCAACTGAGCTTCATAATATACAGAGTGATTCAATCAAGACTAAACACTTATTATGTGAAATATCTCCATATAAAATGAATGAGCATGGAACAAACAATGGTTTATTATTTTATGATGAAGCAGTCATCCAAGGTATGTTATACAAGAGCAGTATTTTTTCAACTTCCGATGGTCCATAAAACAAAGGTAACTGTAAATAACAAAATGAATTTATTATCAAAAATTAGTTACAAACATGATTACTTTTCAACATGGAGGTGGAAAGTCACTTGGCACTAAATCAGGGCTATATGCTGAGTGCTTAAATAAAAAGTTCAAAGCTGGGTGGAAGTCTGAAAAGTGTAATCTTCACACATCTTTATTGTGTACTTCCACCTCTTTCCTGAACTGAAAAAATGGCTAGGAGGGCAGAGGTTCGAGACTAATGATGATCTTCAAAACAACGTTAAGGCCCATCTTGAGCCACCGGCGGCAACATTCTATGAAAAGGGGATTGCAAAGCTTGTCCACAGATATGACAAATGTGTCAATCTTCATGGTGATTATGTCAAAAAGTAACCATGTTTGTACCTAACTTTTGGTAATAAATTCATTTTGTTATTTACACCTGTCTTTATTTTATGGACCATCAGAGATTAAAAAAAAACCACCCTCATACATTAAATGTTATTACTCAAGTGTGACTGTAACAATACTGAAATGACTATTGAACATTTGTTTGTTCAATAGTCATTTCAGGTTTACGGTCATTTCGGTTACCCTGTATTTTCAAATCTTAATCTGCCTACTGTTATTAACTTCCTATTATTCCTTATAATAATATCTTTAAAATTTTATTTATTTGTTATGAAAAAAATTCCAATATTTTACTAAATTTCATACAGTAAACTCTGAAAGATTTTTATCCATTTCTTCTTCTCCACCTTCTAGAAAATTTGATATAGATGTTTTTAATATACGAGAAAACACTTCTAGCTGTTGTGAGGCTGTAGATATACTTGTTATTTCACCTTGAAATCCAGCATCTGATATTAACTAGAAAAATACAAAAATGTTAACATTAAATATTTCTTAAGTAAGAAAATCTAAATTATGTGTGTATTTTGTGTATAATATAATTAATAATAAACTTTAGCCACTTTCCATATTTAAAATTTTTAATAATTTATAACAACAATAATAGTTATAAAAAGGTAATATGATTCAGTTAATAGTTATTAAATTGATCATTTAAATAAAATAAAATACAAAAAATTGACCATTTTTTTCATCTTATAACTAAGAATATGCTAAAATATCATAATTTCTATTTACACAAAATAGCTAACTGACAATCAATCAAACATTGTAAAAAAATAACAAAATATATTATGAATATTTTAAAATACAAGTAATTATTTTTAATACAGTTAAATATTTAAATACAATTAAATATTTTTTAAATGTTTTGCTACTGGAATTCTTGCTATAAAACAATTTTAAGTAATAAAGATAATTACTGAAAAATTAAGATAATAAATGTCAGCATGTGATAGTTGAAAATACAGTTTTAATCTATGTTTCCAACCCCTCCCCAAATTTTTTCCCACACTTTCTATATTATAAAATTTGTCTTTTAGATGTTTTACTAGATAATACCAATGTCTATTATAACATATTAACTTGTTCTAATCACTAAATTATGATTAATTTTTCAATTCAGTTATAAACATATACAGCTAAAAGTTTTAGAATATGTTTAATTTAAGTCTAACTTGGTACATTTACTTTAGTATTTATCAAGGTGAATTTAAAAAATAAATTCATTTCAACAAAATTTTATTAATAATTATGACTAAAATTTTTCTGTTTTTTGAAATATCTAAACTTACAATTTAATTTTCATCTTTTTAAAAAAATAAAATAAATCAATCTTTATGTTTTCCTTTGCTGTACTATATAGAAAAATGTTTTAAAAAACTTTATATCATATTAAATTAAATGATAAACAAAATCCAATGATTAATGTTAGGAAATTAAAATTGTTTGAATCTTCAAAAGATAAATTCTATCTTATAATTTATCTTATTATGATACCTAATTATTCTCTACTAAAATTTGACAAATTCATTCTAAGAATGCAAAATTCGAAATTACCATCATATTTTATAAAAATCACAAATACTGTTCATTTACTAAATCTTATAATTATCAACATGATAAGCTTAAAACTTACTTTGATTGTAAAATTTAGCATGAGGCATTCTGGATAATCTTCTGCCAATCTATATATCAGGGATCGCCAAGTTGGATGTTCAATCATTTCTGTTAACCAAGCTGGTGTCTATATTAAAATAAGTTAAAAACCATTAATTGATACTAGTAAATACATTTATTGATATATAATTATAGTAAATATATAAAAATGAGCTACATTATGTTTTATATACAATATATAAGGTTGGTTTTGTTCATTTTTTTTTTATTATACTTGGAATAGTAATTTGTATCTTAATAATGAGTGTAACACTCATTATTAAGATACAAATACATACCAGTAATAAGAAAATAAAAATACACCTACTGTATATTAATTGTTTTACATATTTCATTTTCAGTTAAGAATGGCTAAATAAGTATGGTATCTACTTATTGTAGTTTATGGTATTTATTAATTTTACATTGTTTCTCTAAGTTTTCAGAAATACTCAAATAGTAGATGCAGCTACTATTTGAGAGGGGGTTATTATTTCAAGCATTAAGGGCAAGTTGTGATTATTACTTGAAGGTAGTTATTATTTGAATAAAATGAATATTTTGTTTTGCTTTGTTGATGTTCTATGTTTCTCATCTGAAGTTATCATTAAGAATATTCACAAATTACAACAAATTTGTTTTTAAGGACTGTAAATTGAACTAGTTTTCTTACATACCATTATTATGGATTCCAAAATGTCTCTTTTTCTAAGATTTATTAGTGTTCCTATTTGATTTTTTAAAGAAAACAAAAAAGGATTAACTAACAGATATAACCTTACAGCTAATGAAAACAAATAGTTGTAGAAACAGCATTAAACAAACTCAAGTAAATTCTGCAAAATAAAACTAGAGATGCGAATAATGATAGAAATCTTTGTAGAAAAAGGAATTTTTAAGTAAAAAATCAACTTTAAAGAAAAAGGTACTTGGGTTGTGCAAATAGTTTAAGAAGATTCTACTTAATGAGGTCCACCAGTTGCTGAGTGGATAAAACCACTGAATGCTGGTAGTTGGTTGGTAGGTTAGCCATATGATATTTTCTGGATTATCATCATTTGTCTAACACCTAAATAGGGGCCATTTTCCCTTAAAAAGTCATCTTGAGAGGCACACCACTCATTGGAAGATCATCTGTGTGTTGCATTGCCTTATTCCCTCAACCAACCCTCCTCTCTACTTAATGATCATTAAAGAGAACATTATGATGTATAGTTGCAATATATACAATACACTGAAACAGAATACAACTGAAGATTGTTGCACTACTTGCTCAGAATTTTGCATGAGAAATAATATTAACACAAGAAAAAAAATAGTTCTTGTTTATTGAAGATATTTTACAATTAAATTTTCTTTTATTTGAAGATATTAATGAAAGAAAATGTTATATTACAATCAGATTGTTGTTCTCTGAAAACTGCACTTGTCATAGTCTACTACTCAAACCTTTAAAATGCAGTACAATTTTAATTTTCAAATGTTTTTAGTTGTCTTAAACAATCATCTTCAGAAAAAAGAAATTTCAATTTAAAAAGAACAAAAGCTCAAATGTCCTCTGAAACAAGTTGATTTCAAAATGAACTTGTTCCAGAGGTTTTAGTATTTTGAATAAAAAGAAAAACCCTCCACATAAACATATTTAAACCTAAATAAAAGATTATACCAGTTAATCTTTGAATAAAAAATTTTAATAAAAAGTTAATTTTTATTTAGTTATTATTAAATTATTAGAAAATCACTATTAAAAAGATATAGAAAGATTTATTTATATCTAATATAATATTTTTAAATTATTAATATACTTTCTATTTCCTCATAGAATGATAGTTTTAGAAGTACTTAAATTATTATTATTATCATTATATTTTTTCGTTTTTGAAATGTCTTAATAGTTTAATTAAGAATTTAATTAATAAAGAGGCTTCTTGCTTCTGCTTACACATATATAAAATATTACAAGATGAATTCTGTATAAGTTACTATAAGAATTGTGTATATAAACGATGATTATAATTTGAAAAAATTGAACAATGTTTATTGAAACTGAGCAGTAGCAAAATAAAATCAACTATGAAATGTATATCACTTTGTAAAAATATTAAAAATAAAATTATAATCTGTGATTAAATATTCATGTAAAAGATCCAAAAATATTGTCTTAAATAAATCAATATCTTTATTAAATGATAATTAAAATGATTTGCTTTACAATTTTTAAAACTTATGACTATTGCAATGAATGTCATCCAAGAAATAAAAAGATAAATGTTTTTTGGTAACATGAAATAACTGTGAATTTAAAATTCATTATTCAAAATAACAAATCCAGTTTATATCAGTTAATTAAAATAGATTAACTTAAATTAACATGAATTACCATTCAAATTAGAGGTTGAGTGCTAATCTCTATCAATTAAAGCAAATTAAACATCATACTAAATCTGTATTAATTAATCTTAGCAAATTTCATTTTTGTGCAGTATTGTAATATGGATGGTATTTTATTATTAGTGAAACATTTTGATTTTATGCAAATTTTAAAAAGAAGAAATTAAATTTTCTTCTTTTTAAAAAATGGAATTTTAAGATGGAACAAAAAGTTTTTAGAAATTTTATGTTCACATTATACAGATTTATTAATATGCACTACATTTAAATATGTTTAGGGTTAATGTTCAATCTGATAATGAGGTGGGAAATACCTTAAAAAAATGTAATTAGAATAAACTGAATTTTGACTCAAACAGAATGATATTTTTTTTTCAAGATTTCTTTATTCAATTCTGTCAGATTCATATGAAACTGAATAAAGGAAGAAAATGAATTAATTAAACAAATTTCTCAACATTCAAAAACATTGTCATTTTGAAAACATTAATCTAAATTGCTTTCATTTTTGTATTGTATAACAAGTTAAGGATGAAAAGACAAATTCAATTCTACAGAATCAATAACTTCAAATTGCAAATAAAATTTAGATTTTCTTTATTCTGTCTAATTTCAATAGTAAAATTATATATATTATACTGAGATACATTTGAATTTTTTTTGTATTATAATTTTTAAATATTTACATAATAATAATAAAACTTAAACTGACATTTGTCACAATTCTTTAAAATTGTATATCTGTAGAACTAAATTGTAACCTTAAAAAAGCTACTGGAATTATGGAAACTTCATCATTTTAAGGAACTTTATAACTTATAAAATAGAAAATAAAAATTTATTATACTTACTTCACCCTCATCTGTAAATATAGAGTCAGCTTTTTTTGGATCAAAGTGTTTAATGATCATCTGTTTTAAATGATCTTCAACTAATGCTTGTACTTCAGATATTTTCATGCCTAAATATTGAAATATTAAAATGATTATATCATTAAAAATTAAACATATTTTTAATTTCAATAAATATATATATTTTTAATAAAACAAATAATACAGTTGTATAGTATTTTAAAAATTAATTTCACATATAAAACTTATTTTTCACTACATTAAAATTACAATATTTTATTTTCAATTAATTGGTTAAAATAACAACTGTCACTTGTTAAAAATTAGTAATTAAAGTAATATAATATATTATTTGAATTTTTAAATTTAATATCCTAAAATTTATTTTAAATACACATCAGAATAGTTAAATCTCTTATAAGTAATTATATATTATATATTATTCATTAAAAATTTCCTTAATCAAATTACAAAACTAATAAATTTATTTTAATGACCAGTTTGTCTCAAACAAAAAGTCAATACAGTAAATATGGAAGTTATTCCTAATAAATATATTGAAATAAATAAATGAAAATATTTAGATAACTGATTTTCATTTGCATTTTCTAAATTTTGTTTTAAAATTTGCATTTTTTAAATATTCATTTTATTTAGCATTATTTAAAAGATATTTCAAAATTTACTCTAATTATATATATATATATATTTTTAATTAATTTGATTTCAAATCTATTGTATGGAAAAAATTTGAGTAATAAAATAATATACAAAATTATACATTAAATTTAATATAAAATATGCTTCTGTTATAATTTCATCATAGAATTTTAAACATACCAGCCATAATTAACCATTCTGCTAATAAATTAGCTGTCTGAGCAATAGCATGATAATTTTCTGATAGTAGATCTACCACTTGTTCAGGATTTCCACCAGCTTGAAAATATCTATTAAATAAAAAAATTATTAAAACATCTTAACAAAAGATGTTTTGATATAATTATAATAACTTTCTAATATCACTTTGACAGCAAAATAACTTACAAAACTGAACTAATTAATATGACAATGTAATTATCTATACAATTGATTGTGAATGCAAATTAAACATTTTAACCTTTCAACAGTAGAATAGTCAGGTATGGTACCCCTTAGTGGTGGAGAATAAATGTGCAAAATTTTTAGAGTATTTTTCCACGTGTTTTTTCTCATTACTGTTTTAGAAAAAGATTTTGTAAACAGTTATGTCTAGTAAAGAAAAGTCTTTTTTTATTGTTACATAATTCATTTTTTATGTGAATTTTTTTTTGCGATAGTCTTAGGCTAGTTTTTGGCAATACCCCCAAAAGAATTTGACTTATATATTCATCCTTCACCATTGCCACACGATCGCCCTTGATGAATATATTTGTCGCTCACTGCTGAGTGGTAATTTTTCTGAAACAACATATAAATGAATCTGAATATATGTCTGATCTTAACAATCTAAACATCATGAACATATAACATATCTAAATAAACATATAAACATCCAAGAAAGATTTTATTAATCTAACGTTTTCGAACCCCTATAACGGTTCTTCTTCAGGCTTTTTTCGAATCTCTGATGGAAAATGCAGCTCGTAAAAACTTCTAAATAAGAAATATTTTATTAATATAGTTTACATATAGTAATTCAAACACAAATTATTATCGTATTTATTTTCAGGCACTTGGCAATCTTTATCATCAAGTTTTTATTTAGTTGATACGTGTTGATATTACACGTATCAACTAGTTTACATAATTAGAAAGAAATATTTTGTTGCTATTGATTGTTCAATTTACCATGATAAATCTGTATTTCAAATTCTGTCGTGAAACAAGAGTGAGCATCATTCATAGTCCTAGGAAATCAATGTAACAAGTATTGTAAATATGCATTTCAAAACCAACCATTAATTTAATGTAGTAATGATTCAATTGTTAAACCAATCATTTAGTTGGTTTTGAAATGCCATTTTTATAAGAGGTATGTTGTATTGATTTGTACAGGTACTTAATGTTTGTACTTAAAACCATACAAATATGCAATGCTGTAAAAGTTACTGATGCAGATAAGGTGGCTATTCAGAAATTTTGCATATGTTATATTGAATTAAGGAAGACAAGACTGATGACACAGAAGAACACCTACATTTTCAGCATGATTTTCAGCATTTTCAAAGAATTTGACACCTCTTGATTTTTTCTTCTGGGATTTCATTAAAGGTCTACTGTTTATGCCACTTGCCTCCAAATCTCACCAAGTTCAAAACTTAAATCACTGTGCAGTTACTGAAGTGACAACAGGTATGTTTACTTTGAGTTTGGCAAGGAACTGAATTCAGGTGAGATGTCTGCCATATCACTAATGGTACTCACACTGAACCAAAATGTCTACTTGAAGTAAAACTTGGTGTTTTGCTATAAATTAATGCCTCAACCAGTTTTGTAAATCTAATTAATATTCTGTTTGCTTCAAAGTTGTAAAGTCATTTTTGAATCACCCTGTAGATAGTCATTCAATTTAATTGTAATTTTTTTAAAGCAATCAAATCTATTTTTTAGAAAATATTCTGTATTACTGAAGAAACAAAATAATTTCATAAATGAAAAATTTTTGATAGAATGCAGTTACGAAATTAAGCAATTATTTTCCTTTTACAGTTTGAAGATAAATAAATTTAAGCAGTAAATTAGAATTTAATATTTATTATTCTGGATTTAACCCTTAATGATACTGAATTTTCAATCATTTGTTTAAATAATCTAAATATATAAAATTACTTGACCTGATTGAGTGATTGACTGATTGCTTCGTCATCGCCCAGAGCAAACCACTGAACCTAAAGAGGTGAAATTTTGTACACAGTTAGGGGGAAAACACACACTAAGAAGGGATTTTTCGAAATTCCCCCGCAGGGGAGAGGGAAAGGATTAAGGCTTAACCTGAAGAACAGCTTCTACTGTAATATTTTAGATGCAATTTTTTGTTTTTAACTACATTTAGTTTTCATTGAGTACTTAGGTGTGATAAATTGATAACATTTCAGACATTGTTATAAATATTTTTATATATTTTGATTNTTTAAACATACCAGCCATAATTAACCATTCTGCTAATAAATTAGCTGTCTGAGCAATAGCATGATAATTTTCTGATAGTAGATCTACCACTTGTTCAGGATTTCCACCAGCTTGAAAATATCTATTAAATAAAAAAATTATTAAAACATCTTAACAAAAGATGTTTTGATATAATTATAATAACTTTCTAATATCACTTTGACAGCAAAATAACTTACAAAACTGAACTAATTAATATGACAATGTAATTATCTATACAATTGATTGTGAATGCAAATTAAACATTTTAACCTTTCAACAGTAGAATAGTCAGGTATGGTACCCCTTAGTGGTGGAGAATAAATGTGCAAAATTTTTAGAGTATTTTTCCACGTGTTTTTTCTCATTACTGTTTTAGAAAAAGATTTTGTAAACAGTTATGTCTAGTAAAGAAAAGTCTTTTTTTATTGTTACATAATTCATTTTTTATGTGAATTTTTTTTTGCGATAGTCTTAGGCTAGTTTTTGGCAATACCCCCAAAAGAATTTGACTTATATATTCATCCTTCACCATTGCCACACGATCGCCCTTGATGAATATATTTGTCGCTCACTGCTGAGTGGTAATTTTTCTGAAACAACATATAAATGAATCTGAATATATGTCTGATCTTAACAATCTAAACATCATGAACATATAACATATCTAAATAAACATATAAACATCCAAGAAAGATTTTATTATCATTTTAACATCGTTAAATCATTAAAAAAAATACTCTTTCAATTTGAAACAAAGTTTGTAATCAGATTCTTCCTAATATGAATGATCATATGCAACATTCGAATGTCAGTACAAGCATTGAGGCGAAAACAAAGCATTTTTATGGAATCCTGACAATTCTGAATTTAATGTAAATTAAAATATGACAAATAAAGTTCTTAAACATTGCGATAACATGCAAGATTCCTAAGTACAGAAGTTATGTACTGTACACAAGTTAACAGCACCGGTAACACTCATATTTAATTAATGTTTATAATTATTATTTACTATTACCTCTGCTTCGTGTTCAACGAGACCGTCGCCATCTTCATCCCATCCCCGTTCGTCTTCGTAATCTATATCGTCATCCATTTTGCTTCCACTAAACTCTCTCAAAGATTACTGTAATAAATATCCATGACAGAACTCAAGCCCGGGAAATAATCATCACTTTTTTTTACTACATGCGCCAAGTTATAAGCGTTCGCAGCGCTATTGTGGCTGAAATCGAAATTAACGAATTAAATATATTTGTAAGTATAAAATTAATTTATGAATTTATTAAAGTTAGTAATGATTTTTATTGATTTATTTTATGAGTTGAAATAATAATATTAAAGTATTAATTTATAATTGGAAAAATTTTTCATATTTCACTCTTATTTTTAACTCTTTCCGGCCAGATGGCCGAGAGGTCAAGGTCGCAGACTACCGCTCTGGGACCCGAGATCGGATCCGGACGGGTCGAAAAAACTCCAAGAATTTTTCGGGGGTGGTCCGTCCGGATATGTCGGGCCCCGTTCATCATCACCCGGCCGCTCGTTTGTGGGCCTGGCCGAACCCATAATGGGCTTGTTAAAAGAGATCCTCTTAGTGTCCATAGGGCGGAAAGAGTAAAATAAAAACGCTTTCCTTCCTCTGAGGGCCTACGAGTGCTGTTTTTTAGCAGGCCCGTTTTGGTTCTGACAGATCCACAGTGGGACGGCCGGATGATGAGGGATCGGCCCGACATAATCGGTTATACCAATCCCGAAAAATTCCTGGAGATTTTCTGCCCGTCCAAATTTGATCTGGAGTCCCCAGAGCGGTAATTGCCATTTTAACCGCTCGGTCATCCGCTTGTCTACGTTTTGTTTTTTTTTTTTTTTTACTCTTTTCGCCCTGTGGATATTAAGAGAGTCATTTAATCATTATAGTTTCGGCCAGGTCGACAATGGGCAAGATCAGGCATGGCCAACATACGGCACGCGGCCCGGATCCGACCCGTCTAATAAACTTATGCGGCCCGCGAATAATCTTTCAATATTAGCTACTTAAGCCGAATATCTCGACGAAAAATTCTGACGCCTAAAAAAAAGTCAACAACTCACTGTGTGTTTACATTTAACGCTCCATTACAAATCACTTAAGTACAGCGTAGAATGTTGATAATGCGAAAAATGTATCTGTAATCTCTATGTACAATTTAGTCTCTACGGGGTGACACCACAATGAGATCTCGCACCATCTCAAAATCTTCCTAGGGCAGCCTCTGGTTCAGCCCGTGAAAAAAGTTTTCTTTCCAATTCGGCCCGGGGGCAAAAACTGTTGACTACCCCTGGGAAAGATGGTAAAGGAGGGAGACCGACATATCAGAAACAGACCATTCCCAAAAAATTTCTGGGAATTTTTGGCTGAATTCGAGCTCGGGACCCAGAGAGGGACTTACCTCTCTGTATCCCTTACCGTCTTGGCATGACCATCTAAAACAGTGTTTTTCAGCACTTCTTTTATCTCACGGCACACTTAAACCTATAATTAAATTTCCGCAGAAAAATCATGTAAAGTTATGTTTGTAAACAGTATATCGCCATATTACTTGCCACTTAACCTAATTATTCTTGTCTACATTTTTTGTGAATTAAATAAGACCTTATTATTGTTTCTTAAAATAGCACTAGGCTACAACAATAGTTATTTTAATTAATAATTTACATAAGAAAAGCAATTAATTAAGTCTTAATTTGCATTTAAAAGTGGCATGATAACTGCATATAGAAACCTACCCAATATCCCCCTATTTCTAAGTTAACTCTGGTTTTATCTACTCGGCCACTGCTGGGTTAATTATATTTAACGAAATATTTAATAAAATATCAACAATTTAAATTTACATTTTTCTTATGATTAGAAAGGGCATAGAATTTTATCTTATTTGCACTTACTTCTGTTGGCAAAGATAGAAACATTTTCGTAATTAGGGCAAAAGTCTTGTTCAACTTAGAATTAATACCGCGATTTTTGATAATTTAATTTTCAATAATAAAATAATAATTTTGTTTTTAATGTTAAAATTTAAGATTATTTTCAAAAAAAGAGATAATTTTTAAATGAAAGATTGCATTTTATATAAAACTATGCAAGATTTGTTTGGCCTACTTTAATTAAAAATCTATAGTTTCGTTAAGGTGGGTTGCTAAAGCTCTATTTAGCACGAAAGTTCGACAGGTAGCAGTGAAAATAACCCCGTATAGGACCATTATTAGTCGATAAAGTCTAATTTCGAAGAAATAAAATTATTTACAAATAATTTTATATCTTCTATTGTCTATCGCAGTTACATTTAAACACCTGTATTTAATGATATTGTTATTTTATGCTTCAGTGATTGTGATTTATTATAGTTTCATACTACACGTGCTCATTGAGATATATATATATATATGAGTATTTAAAAATAAAATTCAGTAATTATGAAAAACGTTAAATGGGAAATTAGTAAGTACAGTATTTAAATATAGATATGAATTTACAAAAAAGTTATAATAATAATTATATACTTTAGCTGATTAACTTGGTCAGATTCCTTAGAATATTTAATTTTCTTAAAAACAGTTTCTCAATCAATAGATTGTGTCTCCCGCGAATAAAGTTTTTCCTTAATTAATAACATTTAATTTCGTGGTTAGTTATACGGAACATATGCGCATACTCTCACAAGGGAGTGAGCAGGATCGATTAATTTCACATTTAAAACGCCTTAAAAACATTACAGTATTTACAAATTATTCATCTCACGCATTTCTTTTATATTAAGCATAAAAACATTGGGTTTTTCTCCCTCCCGAATCCCAGAGTATGTTGACGTCTTAACAATGATGGAACAAAGAGTAAGCAGTAAATTATCTTGTAAATTAGATAAAAAGGTGATTGTATAGTATTTATAGAAGTATATTATAACGATGTTCTCTGTTAGTTGAAGGTGGCAAGATTTCGGAAAGATTATGAGATCTCGAAGACGGTAAATGCAATGGGATCAATAATTGTTAGAATTTAGAACCAAAAATGGGGTATTCGAATCGATTGTGTTTTTGATCGCGAGGTGAGTTTTCTCATGTTAGCGCAATAGATTATCAATCTGGTTTTCGGAAAATGAAAATTGATAATTTAGGACTTCTAAATTCAAAAATTTATAGATTAGGTGATTTAGTTTTTCAGTGAAAGGTAGGATTTGAAATTTACCTCCCGCTGACTATCTCTTGTTCCACAAATCAAATCAAAAAGTAATTTTCAGAATACATAAAAAACTAATCTCATAGAAAATCCTTACAGGAAATATTTCCTTTCTTCGTGTTAGAGTTTTAGAATCATATTAACAATGTGTATGTAACTTGTAATAATTGTACTATTAATGTATAATGTAATGTTGGCAAATTGTCACCATAGATTTTGTTTTATATCTCACCCAATTGATAAGGGCCAGTAAAGACGAAATGAATTTTGAGATAAGTTAATTAAATAGGTTGGGTGTGTAATAAGCCTGTTCATTAGTCATACCTAACTAAGTAGTTTTTGTAATTAAATGATACAAGCGAGAAGTCTTTTAATATGTTAATGATTCATTATCTTTAGATTATGAGAGTCTTCATTATTCCAAACTCTCAATGTATTGAACTATCTCATAGTTTTCAAGCTTCTGCCTTTGGAAGCTGTTGTCAGCTTGTCATCTGAACTGGAAACTCTCTGCTTTTTTGAGATAACATAACACATTTAATGCAATGTCTTCACAAACATGGATTTACGATCAACACTGAAAATCACAAGTTTGCTTGTAGACTATAGTGTTGTTTTTTTTTTTCTTTTTAATGGAATTGTACATTCTCAAACATTAACATTTTATTTATTTAAGTTTAACGTTACCATACACATACGAGAATTTCAATGGAAGCTTTCAAATTCTGATTAAATTACGACCAATCAATTTTTTTCTAAAATTTGCCACGTAAGAAATTTCGTCCCAAAATGTACCAAATCTTCCGCTGTTTGGTATGAGAAAGCCGATTTGAAAGTTCTTGTAAATCCAAGTAACATGCCAAAATCACATTCTCTAACTGTAAGAAATTATTAATTTTTGCAATTTTTTCTATGGATAATTAACTTTTTATATTCCTATAATCTCTATTATTCGTGTTAATGTGAATCGATGCTCGGATAATCGAAAACTCGGATAAAACATATGGGCACGGACATTTTGGATTAAAAATTACGAATATAAAGATTTATACGGTTGCATTTTTAGTGAATGTAATTATAAGAACGACAATTTTTACATCATTTATTATATAGTTAATGCGTACAATAGTTTTAAGAATAAAAATGTGTATTATTGAATAATTTTGTTCTATATTAAAGTTAAATGATGAAAAGTAACAGAAAGAAATCATTTTGCAATGCGTGTTATCGTTTTAAACTACTTTTTATTATGAATTATAAGAAAAGTAGTGTACAGTATTCATTTACTAGTTCGCCTCGGATAATGCGGAACCTCGGTTAATCGGGGTTATTATTTATAGTACAGGGTACTATTAATCCATATTATACTTTTTTAATACTAGTAATCTGTCCAGTAGGAAACGCCAATATATTAAATTTAAACTTATTATTTTGATAAAGAGAGTGAAGATTAAATAAATGCTTAAAAGTATTACAAGTTTTGTCTACAAATAGTTTTAATTTTTCAGCCTTTGCAATCCAAAATCAGGCTTTCCTAGCTATCGAGTCAGCCTCATCTATAATCTGAGGTTGACAGAGTATTCTATCTTTTTTCACTCATCTGTACACAGAAGCATTTTTCAAATTCAACCAAAGAACTACGATTAACCACCTCTGACTCTCCCTTTATCTTCTCAGCTTACGTAGTCTTGATCAATCCAATTGACCTTACACATCGAACTTTCCGCAATATTCTACATTAACTTCATCTAAATTTATTTCCTCCAACTCCTCCAATGAGATTAACACTTAATCTTCAATTTTTCGAAAATTCCTATCATAAATATTACATGGGTTATTATATTATACTAATTTATTCCGAAATTTAATTAATAAATTTT